AAACACCACACATTTATTAATATCTATCATCATTTTTGAATGGTATTTGTTTGGCTGCACTGAGTCTTTGTTGTGGCACTCAGACTCTCTAGTTGTGGCACACAGGCTTTCCAGCTGCATCGCACATTTTTAAATTGACAGTTCTGTAGGGTAGGAGTCTGACGTAGGTAAAACCAAGGTGTGAGCAGAGCTTCATTCTCTCCTGAGGCGCGAGGGGAGAATTCATCTCCTTACCTTCCGGAGACCCCCACCTTCCTTAAAGCCAGCAGTGTACTATGTAGACACATTTCTCTCTGACCACAGCTGGGAAAGAGTCTCCATTTATCCAGACTTGTGTGATTAGATGGGGCCCGCTGGACAGTCTCCCTGTTTGAAGGTCATTAATCTGAATCACATCTTCAAGTCCCATTCGCTGTGGAAGCGCAGTTCCCACAGATTCTGAGGACTTGGGTGGACAGTCGTGAGCATTATTCTGCCAACCTCACCACCATCCTCTTTTGAGATGAGGAGGTGTAAGGCTTAGGGATGGCAGAGAGGCCAGTGGATTGGGGCAACACCCATCTAAGAAGTAAGGTTAGAGCTGGTTTTGATTGTAGTTCTCTTTGATTGTGAATTCTGTGTCCTTAGCCACTTTGTTCCATGCAGTTTTTTATTCATAAAAGAGGCCACCCTTGATCCTCAAGTGGTTTACAGATGCATTTGCATGCGATATTTATGAAATGGGTTTTCTGCTGGTGTTCTGGTGTCTCAGGCAGCTGAAATGACTTGTTCCAAGGGAGGTGGAAATGTGTGGCCGAGTTTGGAGTTTTATTTACAGGTGGGTCATCTTAGGTGTTTCCATGGACAGAGGAGCCCATTGGGCTACAGTCCACAGGGTCGCAAGGAGTTGGACATGATCGAGCAACTGTCACTTTCGCTTTCATTATGGCTGTTATCCTAAATTCTGCCTCTCTTTTCTTGTGGATACTTTTTGGGTGAATGGATCACAAGAGTGATGAAATAATAACTGTTGAAATTAAAAATGAACTTTCAAAAACAGTCTACTTCATGGGCAGCAGTAAAGATTCCATCTGTTAAAATATGGGTTTGAGTCACGTTTCACAAATTGAAGAGCAAGACGTTTCCTTTATTTTTTGAAAGGCACGATAGAGTTTTTAAATATGTGGTGTTTCTGTGAAGGTCTTGCTTCTTGTGCTGTGCTACTGTGTATTCTTGTAGAGTAGATTTTCTAAAATTATATATCCTTCCCAATTTAACACAAAATTGCTTTATATCTGCACCTGGCACTTAAATTTCAGTTTAAAAGAAAGCTGTAGAATTGTATGTTTTTGGCATATTGCAAATCACCAACTGTGATTCTGCCATTGAAATTCAAACAGCATTTGTTCATGACACAGTCCAGATTTCATAATACTTGTGTTTTCTAAAAATGCTGGAGATAATTATTGAAACTAATATATGTGTATAAGTTCTTTCATCATGTGTGGCATTTAAAGACTCGTTCTTTGTAATTTTCAATCTCCATTTTCCGTTTGCAAAAAGGACTTTATTCTTAGGAGAACACATCATTGTGAAAAGTTAATAACAAAACTTGAATTTCATTTGCTTCCAATTAAGCGCCAAAATGTCAAAACTTAATATCTTCAAAATGCATATGAAGCCACACACCTTGTAAGAAGTCTGATAAAATTAAAATCAAGTACAGAAATTCAAAATCCTGATGAAGAGCTTGAAATGAATATTCTTAGCTTGGTCAAGGAACCTTGACTTTTAGTTTTATTTCTCACACGGAAATTTTTAAATTGGATGTTACTAGAGGGATGAGCAATCTCATGCAGGATCATCAATTTATGGCCCATGGGTTAAGTTTGGCTCATTATCTGCTTTGTAAGTAAAGTTTTATTTAAACATAGTCACAGTCATTTATTTATATATTGTGAATGGCTATTTTCATGATACAATGCAAAGTAGAATAGTGTGACAGAGACTATATGACTTGCATGGCTCCAAAAATAGTCTCTGTACATTTTTAGAAAAATGTTTGCTGACCCTGATCTGTAGAATGTCTATTATTAATCAGAGGAGATGCTTGTGAGATAAACAGGTTGATAATGTATACATATATATACCGTTTGTGAAAACTAGTGTATACATACAAATACCTTTCCATTTTTTACAATTGCTAAGGATTTCTTTTCCCACTGATGTTGCTTATTATAAGGTTGAGTGGCCCAACTCCTCATCTGACTTTAATTTCTTCTTACCACTTAGCCTTCCTTCAGATTGTTTAATCAGCTAATTATATAAGATGCCACAGCAGGATTCTGAGCTTCCTGTTTGTCTACATATCTCTATGACCTTATGGTGGTTTTCTTTTTTGTCTTATGAATTGATAGATGTAAATAGAATTAATTCAAACTGTAATTGTAAAAACTTTTTATCATCTGTGAATTCTTCTTTCAGTCTGTTAACTAAAAGGAGTTGAAAAGACTTAGGTTGGAAGCTGAAGGCTTGGTTCTTTTGGGGTGTGGTCCTGTCTCTTCTTTCCTTGGAAGTCTAAGCTGAGTTTTCTAGGCATGGGATTGGACGGTGAACGGCCAAGGTGTTCTGTGCCATAGAGCTTTTTTCCTCTTTGAGATTTTAAAGTAGTGCTGCCACTGTTTAGTTGTAAGAAGAAATAAGTGAGTTTAAATAGAGTGAATTCACACAGTACTTGGTAATACTGTATTACGAAAATTTTCAATTTTCAGAAAAGTTACAAAAATAGTACAGAGGGTTTTCATGTACTCTTCACCTATCCCTAATGTTAACATCTGACATAACCGTAGTATAGTTATCAAAGTTAGGAAATGAACAGTACCGAGTACATACTAACTAGTCTATAGCCCTCATCTGAATTTTGCCTCTTCTCCACTAGTGCCCGTTTCCTAGTCCAGGATCTGGGCAGAGACCTCATATTGCATGCAGTTTGTATTCCTCCCCAGTCTCTTCCAAGGTGCACAGTTAGGTCAGCCCTTTACTTTCCTGGTCTTGATATTTTTAAAGAATAGGAGTTATTTTATGGAATGTTCCTTAGTTTGGATTTGTCTGATGTTTCCTCGCAATTAGACCAAAGTTACGTGTTTCGGGCAGGAGTACCATGGAAGTAACGTCGTATACTTCTTGGTGTATTTTTCAGAGAGTACATGCTGTCAACATGTCTTATTACTTAGTGAAATGCTGTCTGCCAAGTTTCTGCCCTGCAAGATACTATTTTCTCTTTTTTAATTAAAAAGCATCTTACAGGGAGATACTCTGAGATATGTCCACCTCTGATCATATTCTTACCATTAATGTTAGCATCCACTGTTGGATCTTGCCTGTGACAGTTCTGACTGTGGAGATTGCTTAGTGATGATTTCTCTTTATTTTTTCCATGTTTATTAATTTGGATGCTCCAGTAAGGAAGAGCTGTCCATTCTCCATCATTTATTTCTTTGATTATTTGATTATATCATTTTGGACTCAAGGAGGTTTAGTTTTATCTTGGGTTATAGTCTAATGCTATCATTATTTGTTTACAAGTGTCCCAGATGGCTTTGGTGATTCAGAGCTCCTTCAGGTTGGCCCCTGATTCCCTTAGATGTTCTCTTTAACATCATAAGCTGTTCCAGGCTCATCATGTATTTTTCTTACCCTGCCCCTGGAGTTAACTGTTTTTCTATGAACTTCTAGTTCATTTATTGGAAAATGGTATTAGAAACCAAGATCTGGTCTTTCATATCCATTGGTTCTTAAATTAGTAACTTGACATTGAAGCAATGTCATTGCTTCAAGGATCTCTCAGTAGACAGAACTAGGACATATGTGTGTGGTCTGTATACCACCCATGGATTCGCATCCATCTGTACCTGCCTACCTACCTACTTAGGAAAACCTTGAGTTCATATTGATGCCTCCAATTCAAATCTAGTACTACAGTTAATTTCTTTTTTTGTCACTTCTGTTTTTGAACTTTGTAAGAACTTTGGCTCTTATTATCCAAAATACTTTTCTTTTTCATTCTTCCTTGAGGTGTGTGTATAGTAGGAGGAGGAGGAGAAGGGATAGTAATAATAGTGGTAACAGTAGTAGTAGAAGTAGCATGGATTTCTAAATCATGTGCTTGTGAGAAACAAACTTACTAACTGAATACAGTATTTCTGTTCCTGTCCTTTTTCCTTTAGACGTGCTTTAAACAGTGAAAACAATTTTCCAGAGTTACTTAGTTCTTTTCTTCCCCACCCTTTTCTGTGTGGTTGTGGTTTTCATTTGTAACAGGTTTATTTGTTTGTGTTCCATTTTAGATAATCCAGCCTCCAGACCTCCACCTTGCCTCTTGGTTGATTTCAATTATTTATTTGTTTTAAATGTTTTAATTATTTTGATGGCTCTAAGAGTTGGAGTTACAGAAAAACATGTTCAGGAAAGTGTCACCACCCATTACCCTCATTACCTGCTCCCATTCTCTTTCTTTCAGCCTCGTTCCCTCTAACTCCCTGTAGGCTACCAGCCTCATTAATTTCTTTTATCCTTCCTGTGTTTCTTATGCACCATGAGCAGATGCTTTATGACAGTTCATATCCCCTTCTTCCCACACGAGGGGCCCCTTATTACCCTATGCTGTGTATACTATATGTCATATATATGTATACGTATTTATGTATAGGTATATGCATTTTCTTTTCCGCTTGATATACTATCTACAAAAAGATTTAAATCCACTCTATCCCCTTTAGCATTCTGAGATACAAAACCGTTGTATTATTTTCCACCTGTAGAATTTTGGATATGACATGTACAACTTAGAAATGTAAAAATATCAAAACCCAGGGCAAGCCTATTTCTCTGAAGTTCCTCTTCCTAAAATATAACATTCCTGGGTGTGTAAATATCACTATTTACACCAAAGATGGTGTAAGTTTGGGGTTGTCCTTTCAAATGCCTTTGTATATAACTGCAAATTCACCTGTCATTTCTAGCTGGTAGCCGTGTTTGATGAGCAAGACCCACATCATGGAGGTGATGGCACCAGTGCCAGCTCCACAGGCACCCAGAGCCCAGAGATATTCGGCAGTGAGCTCGGCACCAACAATGTCTCAGCCTTCCAGCCTTACCAAGCAACAAGTGAGATCGAGGTCACCCCTTCAGTCCTTCGTGCGAGTAAGTGCATATTTCATCTTCATTTACAGGGATGCCAACTTTTGTTATTCAGGCATGCTCCTGTGAGTGGAATTCATTATCTGTTTAAAATTGATTAAGTTTAGAATCTGGGCAAATGTCTTTTGCAAAAGAGGTAAGTAAGATTCTTTACATTTTTGGATTGAGCTTAGATTACTTTGGACTGGTAAACTTTTAATAGCTCACTAAAGATCAATAAGGATAACTTAAAGTTATATTACTTGAATTTTTCTTCCTATGTGTTTTGTTTGAATGATAGAACAAATGGAAGTAATCAAAAGCCTTCCGTTGAAACAAAGCAGAGCATGTTTGATTGATAGTCAACTTGGTTATAATCATTTCTGGATCTTTATCCGGAGGGGGTCAGCGTTAGCTTCAGGGATCTGGAAGAGCTGATATGAGATACCATCTCAAGGAAAGAAAATATCAGACTTAGTGGGTTTATAGTAGAAATCCTAGGATGCAGAGTGTCCAAGTTCCAGTACACTAGCTTGAAGAATTCTATAGCCACTCCTGCCATTCCTTCACTTCTTTTACTCACAAATGTGAAGAATGTCTGCTAAATATAATATTTAGTGTTTGTAAGTGTGTAATCTTATCATTGAGCAGTTGGTAAGAGAAAGAAGGCCTATTTCAAGAACTTTATATTAGAAATCACTTATCTTTTAGGCACACCTAATTTAGAAACATTTCAGTTTTCAAGTAGAAAATTTAATCTTGTGTGATGTTACTGGTCATCTTCAGTGGATCTTCACATAGAGATATGGAATAATATATAAAAGTAATATATAGAATATAGTTAGATAATTTTAAAAATATGCAGTTTTCCTTGCAAAATGTATCTTTGTCCCCACTTTCTGAATTGGTAGCAGTCTACAGCATCTTGGTAATTTGCTTCTAGATGTTTATAAACTATTTCTGCTTCCACTGTCCCTTGGAGATATATATATATATACACACACACACGCACACACACACACATATATAAATATATTACTGTATAATATCTCCATATTTCTATCTGTCTGTCTATGGAGAATAAGGAAAGGACATCAATTTAATAGTTAACACACCTGATGATCCGAAATGTGATATGTGTACCATGTATGGTATATGAAGTAATATGTAGAGTGTGCACAGGTCATTTTCTTTTATTATATACTGATTCAATAAGTCCATGCTTTAATGATTATCTGCTTGGAGCAAATGTGTTTAAAAAATAGATTGCCTAGTTTCAATTTAAAGAAAATTTTAATTAAATAATAGTGTAAGTATTCATCGGTACCTGATGTTTGGAAAGCAGTGTCTTTATGTGAGTAATTACACCAATGTATATAATGAAGTACAGAGTTTTTTGTTGCGTTATTGTTGTAGTTTTTTTATTCATGTGTTTTATATAGCAAGATGCACCTTAAATTTAGATATGTGCTGGAAGAAAGGCCAGTCCTGTCTTTAAGTTAGGAAGAATTTGAATGGCTTGCTGCCCATCCGTTTGTATCTTTTGACTTCACCGATTCAACAAGATTTCTACACCACCACCACCACCACCACCACCCACATTTGGCTGGCTCTGTTTCAACCCCAAACATCTCTTTTACCTTGCTTTTATTGAGAAAAAGAAGCTATATTTGAAGCGTATATGTTGTCTTGTAGCCACCAGTGGGAAAATACACAAATATTAAGAACAGGAAGCTCTGGCTTTTATTTGCTAAGGTTATTTAGATTTTCTGTCCTTGACAGGCATTGGGTAAATGCATGTTAAAAACGTACTAAATACAAGGTCTGGTGACTATGTAAAGGTTAGTCCATACATATGAGTCATTTTCTGTAGTATTAATACTGTTCATTCAGAAATAAAGCAAGGGTCAGGCAGTGCTGGCCAGGCTTTGTGCTGGGTGATCAGAGCCTAGAGTGGGTCTGTAAGTCTTTGCTATCAAGGAGCTCATGCTCAGTGATCGTCCTCGTTTTCAGGTTTAAAAGGAAAGGGGCCAACAACATGTGGAGGTCTGCTCAGTCACGCAATAATCAACTGCAGTTAGAGGCATAGTTAATATAGGATTTCACATAAATAAGCCTCAGTACTTATCTTGAAGAAATAAAGTGATGATTTTTCTAAGGATTAATTCACTCATCTCTTTTATTCTATAAGGAACTGATGGAAGCTAAGAAAACTCTAGAAGTATCATTGTCTTGTGATGTGAGAAAAAAAATGAAAACGTTTTCTTTTTCTCCTAAAGTTTACTTTTCCTCTTCTGATTAAAAAAAAAAATCAGGACATTTGGGCATCCTGAAGTGCTGTGGGCCCTGGTCATTGAATCTCCTCAGTCACAGTGGAGAAATCCAGAGGTTTTCAGGCCAACAGAGCCATTTTAAGGAGTGGCAAATGAGGAAGGTGATGATTTGACAGCAAACACTTCAAACTGTTGTTCTGGCATCTCTTGGCAGGTTTCTGCATCCTTCAGTCGTAGATAGGTATACTTTGATTTAATGATAACCAGATGCTGATAACCTGTTCTTTTTTTTTTAAGAAAACAGACTTTGGATAAGTTTGAGAGTCTATTGTACTTTACACTTTTAACATGAGCTTACGCTGCAGACACTGCTTTCTAGAACATGGTTTAGAGTATTCATGGTTCAGAAAAAGTAAGGCAGAACCACATCAAGTACAATCTGTGGCCTTGCTCGGCCTCAGTTCTTGCATCTCAAGGTAGCTGGCCTAGGACCGTGAAGAGTAAATGAGATGCTTGAACTCTTGATAGTGTCTGACACATGATGAACACTAGAGTAATGGGAAATTGTAGAAAGGGGATGGTGATAATGACATCTCTTGAGTGCAGACCCAGTTCTTATGGATGTTTTAAAGTTGCAGAGGAGTTACAGAGCCCAAGTATATAGAATGTGTCTTCCTGGATAGAACACATTACCTTTCTTGGGTGGGGTGGGGTGGGGTGGAGTACTCTCGTATAGAGTGAAACTGGAACTGTGTTCTCCTAACCTCACAGTTCTGTTATAGATAACTTAGCTTCCTCTGTGTTTAATGTTCACAAATCCAGATTTAGAGAGACTTACTGTGCTCAGGGGCACAATTTCTGGAGCAGATGATTGAGGCCAAGTCTTATTTTTCTCACTCTCTGATGTTTTTTTCTTTTTAAAAAATTTTTCTAAAGGCTGTTTATAGGGCCAGACATTCTGAGGGTACTCTAGCTTTAGAATGCTGGCAGGATTCCTTTTCACCCCAGAATGCTGAATTAGTGTTTCCTTTGGAAGAGCCAGACTAAAGATTCAAGATACCTTGGCAGTGGCATTTGCCCTAGTGATGGAAAAAGTCCTAGAAATAAAATTGCTGTAGAAGTTCTGAGGAACAAAGTACCTGATTAGATTGTCTTTTAACATTTTAACTTTTCTGAGCTATTTTAATTTTATAGTGAATTTTTATCATTTCTGGCAAAATGTTGCTGAAGTGGTGCTCTTTAGTTGGTAAGATTTTACTAGCTTCCTGGCTTTTAGAACTTACAGAGACATCAGCAATTACTGTGCAAGCTTGTGTTATGAAGTTAGCCCCCCCTGCCTCTTTTTTGAGCTCTAAATTTTTTTCATACTCAAGAATATACAGATTGGTTTTCTCTTGCTAGGAGATCTAAGATCTTTGGTTTAGAGATCTATCCTTTTAAGTGGTATTAGAATACTATTTTCCAGATTTAATTTAAATATATATTGAAAATAGAAATGATATTCCTATTGTATTTCCTTTTAACTTGTGAAGTGGAGCATGGCATACAAATGGCATTCTCAGTATTTCAAATTACCTTCTTACTGTGCAGGTTCTATTTGGCCTATAAAACTCATCCAGTTTTGTTGTAGATGCAATCTGATTATTACATGTTGACAAGGTCATATATCTATTAATTGGATTGGAGATGGGATACAAAATTGCTGTAATTATTGTAATTTTCTAGCTAATTGCAGGGTTGGTGGTGAATATTTTACTTCTGCAAAATGAAAAACAGTATTCCATCAAAAGTTGTTCTATGGGGTTTCAGACATTTTGTTTCATATCTTTGGTGCTTTTTGCCCACAAAGTACCTCTTTTGTATCTATTTTTTGTGTATCAGTCTGCCTTTGAATGTCAGAGTGCTCATTGGCAGGCATCAGTGGAAGCAGCAGAGGCAGAGAGCCTGGAGTACGCTCTCTGCCTCTTTGTTCTGGTTGCCACGGTACCTCTATTGTTTGTTTATAAATTGGAGCACCCTCCTTTCAGACTTACAGTCAGGGTTGAATGGGTCATATCCAATTGGAAGAGGGCTCCTCCGCTCTGCTCTGTTGTCACCTGTGCACTCAGAAATACTCCCCAAAATGAACATTCTTCACTCCATTCACATTGTTTATGTTCTTTTTTGGCATGAATAATTAAATAAATTATTGGTCAGCCCATTTTTCATTGTAATATATGGCTTATTTTGCATATCATCTCTTTTGTGTGTGTTTTTTGCTTCATTTAAACTAAGCCAGCTTCTAAGAGCTGGAAGCGGAACTGACATTTTAAAAATAATGGTGTGTACACAAGGTGAGTGTGTTTGGAGAGTTCCTGGTGGGTGGGGGCTGAGTTACTGAGGCGGGTGTTGGAAGCTCACTACCTAGGATGGTGCAAGCAGACTGATGTTTATTCCCTGCTGGAGTATAAACTGGAGGCGCAGGTGAAAATTGCCAGGCCTAATGAGCAATTTGGCAGATAAGATGGGCTGTCAGGCGACAGCAGTTCAGCCGCAGGCGTACTGTCTGCAGACCAAGATGCTTGTTCCACAGACAGCATTTCAGTACCATAAAGGAAGCTTTTTTGGTTGGTATCTGGTGTGGCAAATATGTTTATTTCATCCCCGATTTTCCAGTGAAGTAACCAGACATCAACATATGGCAATTTTGGTTGCAAAATTATTTTTAAACTTGCCTTTTCATACAGTTCATCCATTAAAAAAAGAAGAAAA